AGAAAAAATGGTTTAGCTCTTGAACCGAGATTTAAGTATAATTAATTTCTAGATTCTACGATTAGCTTAAAACTTTTTATATACTAATATGAACTGAGTTAAAAATCCTAAGTCAATGTTTTCACTAAATAAATCAAGGTTTTACCCCTATTTGCTTTGAATCAATAACCGATATATATAAGTCATTAATAAGCATCACAAGGTTGCCAATGAAAGTGAATTATATCCGTGTAAAGAATTGTATTAAACTTTTCTGGGTACGGGTGATTGTATAAGCCGTTCACCTTGGCATTTAAGTGAGTCGATATTTTCTGCGCAAGATTCTGACCGAGGCGAATTTCAGTTCTAATCCCTGGTCAAGCTTTTAACTTATTATCTATAAACATAGATGAGGCTTATGTAGGATATGAAAACCCATTAAACTTTAACCTTAGAAAAACCCATTTTCCTCCTAATATACGCAGATGATTTCACAGATTAACGAATCCTACATGTGGGAAAGCAGTTCCTAGAGTCACTTTTTATGTATTCCAAATTCAAACGATAGGATAAATACAGAATGAACTGCAATAAATCAAAGAATATTGCAAAGTTTGGTCACACAAGTACTGCTCTTGAATAGTGATAGTGACGTGTGACTAAAATAAAATGATGCAGAGGCTGTAAGGCCTTTGTATTCAAGGTCATTGTACGCAATTCTCGAGATAATCTACTTTTTGCAGTTTCAACCGAAGTCAATATGAGAATTTGGTATTGATATATGCATAATGTGTAATTTATTTATTTTGCACCGATTATTATAATTTTTTATTTTTAGCAAAATATCAGATTTATTAATTACCCTTTAGAATCATAAACACCAGTACAATTTGAATAAAAAATCTTTGGGAATGTACCGAGAAATCGCGTCGTGGTACGTTTTTAGTGCTAGTCCAGTAAACTGGCTTAGAAATTCTAGAAAAAGGTTTCACTTACATGCAACTGTGCGCAGATCTTCTTGCACTGATTCACCGAGTAATACAGTGAAAAATTCTTGCTATGAATTCCTTTCTAAAATAACATGAAGATTTTGTTATTGAAGCTAAAATATCGTGATTTTTTTCCTTCGTAGCAATTCAAAGGGGGAACGCTGTCAGTATCTTCGGAACCTTGCCTAAAGGGACTCCTTTTAATGATATATTTTAGTTTATGTTAAGTTTTGTTTTTTTTTTTCAATGTATATTATTTTATTATTATATAAGTGATATTTTGAAGTTGCATTTGAACCTGTATCTAATATATTAACTTAATATATATAAATATTTACTATTAAGTATAAGCATTAAATAGTAATTAATATGTTTATCCATGATGTCGTTAAGATATTGATGATGTGTTCTTGGCAAACAATACAGGTATCTCGCAGCTCCTTGGGTGCAGCTCGATGGTGCTAATAAATTTACGAATACTTTAGCCGATGCTTGATAATTGTTCGACAACGTTAATGATAGTGTAATTGAATTTTATTTTATATTCTTATTTATTTGATGAACATAACATTTCGTCTCATCTCATATTGTGCTGGTTTTGATTTTCAACACATAACTTTTTTGAGCTTGTTTTCCGTTCGTTCGTCGAGGTTGAATTCGGCCATTAGGTCTAAGACCTTTTTTCCACTTGTGCTGACCAAATATTATTAAAGCATCCATATTTACTTTAAGACATGTACTAATATTTTCATACATTGCAATGATCGTAAACATAATTTCACTTGGTAATCACTTTTCGTTCGAATACGAAACTTGAATTAGCGAAAGTGCAAACTGTAAAGATTTCTAAAGCATTAAATATGTGTAATAAAAATGAAAAAGTACGAATTATCGTTTGAAAAACGAAAGTAAACAGTGATTTCGCGCGTAATCGAGAGCTGTTAACGGCTGTTAATTTTGTTTATACATAAAAAAACATTTTCTAAAATATGTTTACGACATGGATCATACTTAACAATATATTAATTGTTACGTATGTTTTAAATTTTCCGATTCCATTCTTTTTTTGAAGTGAAACTTCTTTATCGGGGTTGGAAAAAATTTTAGTGTAACATTTTTGCGTTACGCGTCACATTTTTCCGTTACGCGCCATGTTGCTTTTTGAAGTCAAACTTCTATATCAGCGTTAAAATATGACATATAGTATATTTTTGACTTTGAAGTTTGACAACGGATTACATTTTCGAAGTCAAACTTCTTTATCGGCGTTAAAATATGACATATAGTATGTTTTTGACTTTGAAATTTGCTAATCGCAATTTGCAGCAATTAGTTTGTAAATTGTATTGCTAGGCAGTGTATCAAAATTTACTGTGTTTAAAGAAATAGTTTCGGACCTCTAAACTTAAAACAAACCAATTATGGCTCTGCGTACAACAAAGGTTTTATATAAGTTTCACTTCTTACGTGTATACACCTAGTACACGCACACATTTTTTTTTTATATCATTTGGGGCCTGGAAAAGAGCGAATATTTCAAAAATCAAACCCTTATGTTAACTTTGTTGTTACATCTAAATATGATGGATTTTAAATATTGGGGTAGTGTATTTATTGTTGGTCTTGAAAAATCTCGTGTAATTTCTATTATTATTATACAGTGTTTAATACTTTACGTATCTACTCTTTATAATGAATTTCAAGATACCGAGGGTTTTGTTCATTATATAGAGAGATTTCGTTATAGGTGATCAGAAACAAAACCCAAATTACAATAATTTCTAATTTTATAACTATCAATAGGTAAATTGTTCTAAACACATTATCTACGCTTTTCTTTTACTGGCCATTTTGACAGTTTCAAAGTTTGTTTATGACAGATAATACACGATAGGTAACGGTGGTTCGTTTAGTAACGGAGACCAAAATTTCCTACAGGCAATGTAATCTAAGAATAATGGCATACGTGTGCAATTAACAATAACAAAGGCGAGACGGCTGTTTATGACCTTAGGTGTCTTTCTTAGAAATTTCGGCACCTCAAAAGTTATTTTTGTAAGCTGATTATAAGAACAATTACACTTAAGTATGTTATTGATGTCTAAATGTGAAAATATTTCTTCGTTATAGAGAATGGCGATTCTTCGTTATTAGAATTATTTAATGAATGGTGTTTGTGTTAAACCAAACAAATGTAGCCTAATTTTACGTTATAGAGAGTTTTCTGTCTAAACGAATGACGTTATAAAGAGATAACACTGTACCTGTATATATAAAGTTACATATACGATACGGGTTGGAAGCTTTAAAGATTTACTTCGATCCCGACGAATCCATTACTTTGACAACCCTAGTAACTCTTCCGTTTTTATCTCATACGGATGTCGGCATATATGGAGTGTTCCTGTTATACCTGATGAACCGGAATCTTACGAAAGAGGCAATTATTACGTAAACTTAAAACATCAAGACATCTATTACATTACTGGCGTCATTAGAGAACTGTTTGATAATTTCTAACCAATTATATCGTAATCAATAAGAATCTACAAAATGTACCTTATTGCTTTCATAAATGGCATAGCGTCAACTCATACACGGTCTGACGTCTAACGTTGTAAGAAAAACAAATATATAAAATTCTCGTGTCGCGGTGTTTGTGGTTAAACTCCTCCGAAACGGCTTGACCGATTCTCATGAAATTTTGTGTGCAAATTGGGTATAACTGAGCATCGGACAACATATATTTTTCATCCCACTAAATGTTAAGGGTAGTCCACCCCTAAATTATGATTTTTTTAATTTTAAGATAAAAAATTTTTTTACGATACAGCATTAAAAAATACATACAACCCTCTACGATCAACCCCTAATTTTTATTATAAATGATATACAATATACACGGCAAAACGACGTTTGACGGATCAGCTAGTAATTATATAATATTTTGATTTCAACAGTTCTATAAATGATAAATAATTATTAGGCTTTCGCTAAGCGTTTCTGATTTTAATGACATTTTAATCAGTCAAGTAAAATCTTTACCTTCATATATATGTATAAATAAATAAAAAGTTTTTATTTACAATTAAGTATACAGTTTTTGCAATTTTCTTAACCATCCTATATTAGTTTCGCCTTCGAGTGGATATCAATATGAAACAAGATTAAGTTCAAATGATTGACTCTACCCTCAATATCTTAAAACGTAAAATTACCGTCGAAAATCGCAAAAATAAAATAAATATAAACCTCAAACAAATTCATCGAACTTTTAAAAACCGTTTCGCAATGCTTTAACTTTTCAATTCATCGGAAAATGTCAACCGCGGAAACTCCACTTTCCATTTATTATCTACGATCCAATGAGCACTATGATTTAATTTGGTTGCTCAATTTGTATTACTTTATACAATTTTATTGAACTTTTAAAGCTACTCTGAGTCACTGATTTATCGCGATGTTTTCGCAAATATTTTATTTATATACAAATCAAGATAACACGGTATATTTAAAGCATTTTGTAATACAGTTTACAGTCAATTTAACTACCTGGATAGATAATCTATCCATATGTAGATGGATGGATAAATGTCCAATTTTGTACAAACCAACCATAAAAATAAACACACACTGATTGATTTTTATACACAAGGATATTTTTTTCTAACTTTCTATAACGAATTCATTTTATTTTTATTCAAATGCTAATATTTTTAGATGATAACATAAACAATCTTCGAAATTTCAGGCACAATACACTGTATACAGTAAAATTTTAAAAGGGATAAAATCTAATCGCTTCGTTGCGTTTGGTTTTATAACGTTGATTCATATATCTCAGTATCTGTATTTTAAACTTTTTACGATGTATTATTCTTTCAAAATAGCAGTATCTAATTTTAAATTTCAAATTTAGAATTAGGAACACTTCCGCCGGACGAGACCTTGCTTAAGACGAGAGATTCTATTTTAAGTGAAGCCTTTTCGATTGCGTAGCGCCTATAGTAATGTGTACGTTTTTTATTCCAGGTCAAGGTAACGCAGAAACAGCCAAATAGCAATGATGAAAAATTCATTAGAACTCTCACCAAGGGCGATTTCTTCGGTGAAAAGGCATTGCAAGGGTAAGTGATATTATTCCTTTTTGTATGACGTCATTTTCATACGAATTCTTATTTTAGGTTAATAATTGTATGTAGGGTAAACAAAGAAACTTAAAAATAGCACGACATTTTATCTTTGATATAAATTGATTACATTGTGATGTTTGGCAAACAAAAAAACATCTCGAATCGAAATAAGATTACGTAAAATATTCCAGGCTCTAAAATTTCTGTACACAGACACATTTTTACGTCTGTTTCATTCATTTACCAGGTATATTATACATAAATATTTAGAAACATGTTTATTTTAAAGGAATATAAAAAAAATAACTATGCTCTCACGACTCCAGGGTTGAGATTTGTCGTACGATAATGTTATGATACTTTAAACATCAGGGGACCAGTCTCTTGAGAAATACATGTAAGTTACAACAACATACTTTTTTAGAAAATATAATTGCATTCGACAAATTACTTAACAGAGACGATCTACGAACGGCCAACATTGTCTGCGACTCACCAGAGGGCACCACGTGTCTTGTCATTGATCGGGAGACATTCAATCAGCTGATTTCCACGTTGGACGAAATTCGCACCAAATACAAGGACGAAGGCGACGACCGACAGAGGTATGAACCTTTTGTGCTTAATTATTTATAGGATAAATTAAATTATTGTATCATGTACACGAGTTATAATTATTAAAATAAAATAAATAACACAAAGAATATTATAAGGTAACAAGAATTAATTGATTATATTTTATTCTGCTGTCTTATTGAGGTAGTAGTAGCAGAATAGATTTGTATGATAAAAGAATAATATTCATTATAAAAGATACATAACCATAACTAATTCTTTTTTCACAAACCCGTAAACTTCCTATGTCAATTTCACAAAAAGTGTGACTAAACACTTGTACGTATAACAATGGTTTCGTCGAAATCTTGGAATGTCTCAATGCTATTGTATACCTTATCTTATTGCTATTTTAGACTTATTGTAATCCATTCTATTTTGTTGACGCTACCGTGGATATAATTGTGGTGAGTATTTTAAAATCGTACCGTTTGTATATAACAAATTGTGTTCCTTATTGTGTCTTATTAAGAAATGTGGACATAAAAGAATACCTGGGAATACGCCTAAGAATATTTTTGTAATATGTTATATCAATGAACTAATTAAAACTAAATGTTACGTTGTAATATCTTAGTATCATTTATCGAGTAACTCTAACTTTCGTAATACAAGTTAACAGTAAGAAACTGTTTATAAGAAATTCAAAAATGTCTAATCCAAAAACTTTATCATTAATCACGTAAGGAGAAATGCGAAATTTTAGTTCGCATGTTACTGTATTTAACGTCAAGTCTTAAATTCCACAAAACAAGTTATTCTTATTTATGCTATTACTTTCACTAAACCTAGAGCAAGATTAGTATAAGTGGAAGTACTGAGGTTGTTAACTTTCCTATGTGACAAACAATATGGTTTTTACAAGAGCCATAACAATTATAATTCTCGCGTTTTTGTCTTGAGAATTAATTCACAATGTACACTCAATCGATTTATGATGTTGAAGTGTCATTTTGTACTAATATCATTATGAAAGAGTTTAATATTCACACTTTTTTAACTCAAATTACCAGCCAAAATGTTGACCCTATAGTTAAAAACTATATCATAACATATTTCCGTTTTATATACATACTAGTGGACCCCACAGACGTTGTCCTGCATGATATTTAAAGCGATTAGGATATTAAGCAAAGTATGAAAGTACCGACTGCAGTGCCATCTGCCGGGCTGATTTGTGAATCTAAACCATTCCCAGATCCCCTTGAACACACACAAAAAATTTCATCAAAATCGGTCCAGTCGTTTGAGAGGAGTTCAGTCACATACACACGCACAGAAGAAATATATATATTAAGATATACAATTTATCTACAAAAAGTTCCCGGTGCAGACAGAAGCCTTTTCTTTATATTCAGAAAATTCGCTTCGCCTTATAAATTAAATAAATCACTGAATATTACGTCAGCTATAGTAAAAGTTATTAAAATTATTCAACCGTAACTGCCTAATTTTAAATTTACTTATTGTACAAAATTCCAGGCTCAACGAAGAATTCGCCAATCTCCGCTTATCAGACCTACGTATCATCGCCACTCTGGGTATCGGAGGTTTTGGTCGCGTCGAGCTGGTCCAAATACAGGGAGACTCGAGCCGTTCGTTCGCCCTGAAGCAGATGAAGAAAGCCCAGATCGTTGAAACGAGACAGCAACAGCACATCATGTCAGAGAAAGAGATAATGTCGGAGATGAACTGCGAATTCATAGTAAAGTTGTACAAGACGTTCAAGGATCGTAAATACTTGTATATGCTTATGGAGACTTGCCTTGGGGGAGAGTTGTGGACTATTTTGAGAGATAAAGGTAAGAGGAAGAAGGAGTGTTATTTATTGGTAAAAAAAAGGGTGCGTGTACTTATGTACGCGCGTAAGAAGTTATACTTTTTTTGTTGTTTTGATTGCATGCAAATAATTAATTACAATTAAATAATCAAAGACTGGAAAAGAAGTCATTATAGTCAATAAAGTTCAGTTTACATTTGAAAAATTAAATAAATAAATATGTATTATTATTCTCTTACATTAAGTGTTACTATAATTCTATTATTATTCGAATGTTGTTTTTAAATTATGTCCAATGCCGTAGCATCTTCCGTGGGAAACTTCATTCTGTTAATTTTGATTCACGGTACGCGCGCATCGTAAAATTTCACTGTCATCCATTTTTCATAACGCGCCTAAAGAAGTATAACTTCAAAAATGTTATTATGGAACATAAGATACAGATATCACATATTCCACGTCATTAAATTTGAATCGGTAGACATCTCTACTCATCGGCAAAGAAGACCGAGGGTGTAGGCCGAGAGAAAAAGCCGGCGTAAAAAACTCTCGGTACTCTTTTAAAATAGCAAATCATCATACAAAATGACTATGGCGAACAACACTTATTTTAAAACAATTATCGGAAATTAGTCAGAAGTAGCCTGCTCTATGGTATACATAGAAGATCTTAGGTCCTTTATAATATCAATTCAAAAGCCGTCAGGTTATTGTTTATGAAGCTTAACTTAGTTGGCTGTGTGTAAGAGGAGGTAGTGAGTGAATTGGAATAGTGTCTTTACTTTTGTAGATTTGTGGGGATATTCGTGGTCTTCATCAAAATTTTACGCAAGAATAAAAATGTTTGTTGCGTGACATACTAAATTTATTTTATGGGGTATAGATGGTCATAGAAAATTACTTTTGTTATTTAAATTTTTTTTTTAAATAATTAATAAAAATTAAAAAAGGGCGCTCCTAAGGCGGGCGAAAGTCCATTGGTGCACAGCCGGGGATCGAACCTACGACCTCTGGAATGAGAGTGGCACGCTAAAGCCACTCGGCCAACACCGCTCTTGTTATCCGCCCGCTCCGCTTTTGTTATTAAAGCGAAACTTTAATTATACAGAAATATAACTGCCGCAATCGTACTGAATACACTATCTACGGATCTAATCTTAAAAAAGTTATTGCTCAGAAGTTTAAGAGTTATAATGATATTATATGATTTTTCAGGTCAGTTTGACGATTCCACTACTAGATTCTACACAGCTTGCGTCGTTGAAGCGTTCCACTACTTGCATTCTAGGAATATTATTTACAGGTAAGATTTTAACCTATGTTTAACCTTTATTAGATAATTTTAATCTAATAGAGCTTTCAAACCACACAACAGACATTTATAAGAAGCTGAATATTAGAAATAAAGTTGTCTTAAAAATATGTGGTCTGTCTTCATAGATCTTTACAAAACCTAGCTACTCATAGCTGTAGCATGTTTGTCACTTTAAAAATGTGTGTATTCGTTTATATATAGATATGGTCTAAACAGAAGCCTAAAATACTATTAAAGGTTAAATCTCTTCCAGGGATCTCAAGCCAGAGAACTTACTCCTAGACTCCAAAGGCTACGTGAAGCTGGTGGACTTCGGATTCTCTAAGAAGTTGCAGGCCAGTCGCAAGACTTGGACATTCTGTGGTACGCCAGAGTACGTAGCCCCTGAAGTCATCATGAACAGAGGTCACGATATAAGTGCGGATTACTGGTCTTTGGGTAAGTTAAGTTTTTAAATTAAATTATTGTAATAAGGCTAAGATTTTAATAACAAATTTTAACTTTTTTTAGTAAGTTATAATTAACTTTACAAGCACACAAAAAAAATAATTGTAATTATATGTATCATATCATTATATATATATAATTATACTGTACGTGTATGTCACTGAACTCCTCTTAATTGGCTGGACCGATTTGAATGAATTGGATGGTTTAGATTCACAAATAAGCCCGACAGATAGCGCTGCAGTCGGTACTTTCATACTTTGTTTAATATCCTAATCGCGTAAAATATCATGCAGGACAACGTCTGTCGGGTCCGCTAGTTATTTATATATATATATATATATAGATTTGGGAACCTATATATATTATATATATACTTAATACTCATATTGTCTACTTATTAATTTTCGTACTAACTTTTATACGTATAAATGTACCATGAGCTACAATATTATAGAAATTATTAAAAGAAAATTCTACACTACACAAAAGGTGTACAACAAAATAGCCGTTTTCTTCAAGCCTCGACTGCTATGTTTCCAGGTGTCTTGATGTTCGAGCTTCTAACTGGATCGCCGCCATTCACTGGAGCCGATCCAATGAAGACGTACAATAAGATCCTAAAGGGTATTGATGCAGTGGAGTTCCCGAGATGCATCACCCGCAACGCTGCTAACCTCATCAAGAAACTCTGTAGGGACAACCCTGCAGAGAGACTGGGCTACCAGCGAGGCGGCATTACAGAGATTCAGAAACACAAGTAAGTTGACAAGTTCTATGGTTGACCTTTAATAATAATTTTGTGGTTTTTCTAATTATTTTATTCATTAAAAAAATGCACTAGAATTCTATGTGACTGAACGTAAATTGGTTATAGATTTTTGAAGCGACTACTTTCATTACAATAATATTAATACTTAGAGATCAAAATTAACTGCAAATAATTCAAATAAGACATTATAACCGGTAGATGTGTGAGCACTATATAGGTTTTAATATGGACCTGTTACAACAAGAAGCTATTTTCAATGATTGACGCAACACTGCCAAAGGCTCGGTCCGAAACTTGAAGCAAAAGAGTTTTACTGATTATTTATTCGCAAAACAATGTACTTTAAAAAAATACATGAGCAACGCACTCGTAAAGTGTTAATGTGCCATACTTACTACTTATTACAAAGAACCTAATAATATATAATAAAAATAATATAAGGGATACCTCGTTTATACGTTAAATCACGTGCATATATAATAATCGGCTACTCTTTACTTAACTGACATATATAATAATTTCCAGATGGTTCGACGGCTTCAACTGGGAAGGTCTTGCGATGCGCACGCTTGAGCCACCCATAAAGCCAACCGTCAAATCAGCAGTTGACACACACAACTTCGACCAATACCCACCTGATGCCGATGAGCCTCCACCCGATGACCTCTCTGGCTGGGACGCTACTTTCTAATTACTCTAGAACTCGCTGGAACTTTCTAGATTTTCCGGGGTCCAAGCCTTTTAGGGACCTTTAAGATGTTCTTAATACTTTCTGAATCTTCCTCGATCTTTTAGAACTCTCTAGAACATTTTGGGATTCTTAGATTTTTTTCTACTCTCTGAATGCAATATAAATAATCCTTTGACATGAAAGACAATTTGTCTGCAATAACTTTCTAGAATAAAATAGTAAAATTCTAGAGGTGACAATTTATTTACTATAGACAATCTAGAAGACTTCTAGAACTCTCTAGAACGACTAATAACGAATTCAAAATTACTTATGACGCTGTTTTCAATAAAACTATGAAGCTACAATTAGTAGAATTGTAAATAACCTGTGATGGTAATCACAAGTAGCACAAAATAGATCTTCTTAGTAGAATTAAGTAAAGTCAAGTTATATGAGAATCGAATTTGGTACTATTAGGATTCTTGTCTCATATTAGTCAAGCAAGTTTGCCATACAGGACTTGCCCGGATAAGATATAATTTAGTCATACCTTAAAAATTAAGTTTAATAAGCCGCGCTTTTGACCCAATACACAAAGGATTTCTATTTGTCAATCTCGTACGGACCGACGAAATCAGCGCGAATCTAAAATACCTATATAGCAAAATTATCAAAAGCAAATTCATTTGTTTGAGACAACGATCCATAAGAATTGTAGCGCCTCTGAGCGATAAATATACATAGAAATCTTTCTAATGACATGTTAAGTCTATGCAAATCAACTAAGTAAATTAATTGCATATCTTATCATATCTATAATTCTCTGTCTAAATCCAAAAATTTTAACCTTTCCCTGACTAATGCATTTTTAAGTAATTCAAAAGCAAATATGAAACTTTGGGGCGCTATAAGCTTTTTCATACAAATATTTGGTTCTACTTATTATAATAAATAGTATATAAAATAAATAAACAATATCTCTATAACCGATATAATTATGTAGATAAAAAAATAGTTCTCCTTATCTCTTTCAATCGCCAAGATTTTAACTCGAGTAAAACAAGATTTTTTTTATTTTCTTTCTGTCCAATTTGTCATCTTAAGTTTTCAAAAGGTGATTTGTATACCAAATGTTACCAAACGATGAATCCCATATTTGTAAATATAAAATAAACTTAAATATTGCATACTGTATAAATGTTATGATAATATATACGAGTATGCCTATTATAAAATTTGTGACAATAATCAAATTTCTTAAGCATTGTGAGGGCTCGTATTTTAATATTTATCGTAAGCTCGCACTAAGTAAAATAAGTTCAATTTATTTAAAATAAGTGCTTTTGGGAAATTTGATAAAACCTTAACACATATTGATTCTCCGTTTCAAAAGTGTATGGCTCAAATTATACCTAAAATTGAAATATAAAAAATGTTAAATTTATTTTAGTTAAATATTTTAAGTATCAATTTCTCCACTTCATAGTAAGATTTATTGTAAATATTAATGCAATTTTAATATTATTACATTTTAATTGTGAAATTTTAATTTACTTACCTATGTTTAATGTTATGTAAGAAGCGTATATTTTTGTAATCATAGCTTAATAAATATTATACTTATGAAATATGTTAAATACATTATTTCGAATATATATATTCGTTTTCGTTATTTCTCTTTTAGCTTCATATTGTACATTTATTCAATGATATTGTTCACTGATATTATACATAGAAGGTAAAGAAAATGTGGACTTGGTGATGGACTGCTGTACAGATTTGAACTGTACACATATAAATTTGGCTTTAATTAATAAAACAACGATAGGACCTCGATCATCTTTCAGTCATCATGGACGTCTAATATGTTTAAGTGTTTTCTTCATTCACGAAGAGTTTTTATTACGATACTATTAACTATGTTTCTGTTGAATAAAAACAAATACTCCATGATTTCCATAATCTAAAGACAAATGTCTTACACGACCGAATGAGAGCAAGAGCAGACGATGCTCTTGGTAATATAATGTGCGTTCAAACCCCAAAAGCTTTTTTAATGAAAGATTTTATACGAAAGATGCGTAAAGAAAAAACAGACCCAAAAATTTACGAAGGGCACAGTAGGTAGTTTAATAGAAGAGAACCACTTTAATAATTTAGTTAAAAGTGTCCTACAATTTTCATAATATTATTTAAATATGAGTAAGTAAGTGTGATCTTTAAATAGCTAACAAGGCGACGCCAAAGATACTTCTTCAGAACTTCCAATACAGAAATAAGAAATCGAATTTATCTTTCAGAAATGGTACAACCGGAAACCAAATTTAACGTGAGTTGGCTAACTCGTAAAGTGGGTCATGTTGATGCCTAGTTTGAATTCGTCCTTTTACAACGTTCGTGGTACAAGAATTATCTATACTAATATTATAAAGAGGAAAGGTTTGATTTTTTGTTTGTTTGAAATGAATAGGCTCCGAAACTACTGGACCGATTTCACAAATTCTTTCACCGTTGGCAAGCTACACTATTCCCGAGAGACATAGGCTATGTTTCATTTAAAAAAAATAGGGATGCTTACTTAAACTTGAATAATCTAACCCAAGGTGTAAAAAAATAAACAAAAAACTTCCTTCAATCGTGTGCGCTGCGAAAACTATTAATGATAGAACAAAATGATGTATCACAATTTTTTAGGACACATCACTATCTATAAAAAAAGTTTTGACAGCATGTCTCTATCTTTTATAGTTACGTCACAATAAGCGTCCTTTTATTAATTAAAATACCACCGCTAGAAAAGGCTCTTTATTCGTACCTAGGTATTAATCCTTATTGGTCTAAGATCCCGCTATACAACGACCTTCACCGAGATGCTTATTTAATGAAACTTATTTTATATATAATTTAATATGTCAATAAATATAATCCATATGGGTTGCCTAGCAAATTTCAGTCCAGAGTATGTTTAATTAATTTAAAAAAAATATTTTTTTTAAACATTTCACCGGTATGATTAATAGATAAATTCTATACCAATCGAACGTATGAAGCCCATAGAATATGCAAACGTTAGGTTGTTTTTAATCAATTAATTATTTATGTGTATATTTTTTATGTGACACTAAAGTATATATACATCTTTAGTATAAAAGAAGGTTATAGTGATACATATACAATACTACCCTGATTAAAAATATTGATTGAAAAAGTTCAAAAAATTTACTACATGCAAATTATAAAAAAATTTTTTTTTTTTTAATATTAATTAAACATACTCTGGACTGAAATTTGCTAGGCAACCCATATGGATTATATTTATTGACATATTAAATTAAATATAAAATAAGTTTCATTAAATAAGCATCTCGGTGAAGGTCGTTGTATAGCGGGATCTTATACTATATCAAAATAATTACCAACGTTTCACATGAGCTACAATTTAATGGCATAACCACCAAAAAGCATAGCGGATTAGTGTTCTCCTGCCTTTTCTCTTGAATAGTTTACTACTATGTAATATAACAAAAATCTTAGCCACAGCAACGCTTGGCGTCTTGAGCGTAATTTGAATCGTTTGCTTGCGACGTGTCTTTCTTCTTAAATTAATTCGCCGTGGCGCATTGCTCAAACTCAAACTCAAACTCAAAATATCTTTATTCAAGTAGGTAACCAAGTACACTTTTGAATCGTCAAGTTAAATTAATCGTAAATTTACATTTACTACCAGTTCGCAAGTCAAGGGCGTAGAGCGGGTAAGAAGAACTGGCAAGAAACTTTCCGCCACTCTTTTTAATCGCCAAGTATTGTCATACAAATTGTTTGAACTGGAGCAATTCAATCCCAAGGATTAGGATCATTTAAGTAGTCCTCAAATTTATAAAAAGCTTTGTTGATTAATTTTCGTTTAACGAGGGCTTTGAATTTATTTAGTGATAATTCTCTAATTTCGCTTGGGAGCTTGTTGTAAAAACGAATACAATTTCCATATAAGGAGTGGTTTATCTTTTGGAGCCTGGTTGGTCGTACACTCAAATTAGTTCTATTTCGCGTATTATACTGGTGAAAGTCACCATTTGTTTTAAAATCGTTTATATTTTTTTGGACATACAACAAGGCTTCAAGAATATATTGACCAGATAGTGTCATAATATTTAATTCCTTAAACTTATTCCGTACCGACTCCCTCGGAGAAACACAACAAATACCCCGAACAGCCCGCTTCTGCAGCACAAATATGGATTGAACCTCTGCAGCAGCACCCCACAGTAAAATGCCGTACGACATAACGCTATGAAAGTAGCTATGGTACACAATTTTAGCCGTGTCCTCATCAGTAAACTGTCGGATTTTCTTTACTGCATATGCTGCAGAGCTCAGCCTATTCGAAAGAGTCTCTATGTGTGGGCCCCATTGGAGTTTACTATCTATTGTTATGCCTAGAAAAACAGTTTTGTCAACAAAGTTTAGTTCACTGTCCTTAATTTTCAGGTTACCAATATCTCGCTTTACGCTAGTAGTTGTAAATCTAATACATTTTGTTTTATTCTCATTAAGCAATAAGTTATTTACATTAAACCAGTTAACTATACGAGAGATAGAATTGTTTACATCGTCCAATAATACGTTATTCCTATTCACTTTAAATAGAAGTGAAGTGTCATCAGCAAACAATACCATCTCATGAACTTCGTTGACAAAGAATGGGAGGTCATTTATGTAAATCAGAAATAAGAAAGGCCCGAGAATCGATCCTTGGGGGACGCCCATTGATACCTGCGAACCCGGAGAGGTGACTCCATTGACATGAACTCTTTGGATCCTTCCCTTTAAATATGAATTCATCAGGCTGGAAGCTTTGCCATCAACGCCATAGTGTTGAAGCTTTCCAACGAGTATATCAGGATGAACACAGTCAAAGGCCTTTGACAGGTCACAAAAGACGCCGACTCCATCATATGATTCTTCCCAGGCGTTAAATATGTCCGAAATCAACTTCACACCGGCATCGATTGTGGAGC